TATATAATTTTGTCCTTTTTTTTGTTTTTTTTTCCTCACTATTTTACCTTTTTTTTAGTCAACGACATTTAAACCTTAATTTTTTTTTTATTGCGATTTCTTCTCATTTTCAATTATATAATATATTTTTATTTATTTTTTTAATATTGTAAAAATTTTGACAGTTAATTAGCATATAATTATTTTTAATGTCGGGTTTTAATAAATTGTTAAACCTTTAAAAATAAATTGGAAAATGCACTAATAACATTAAAGTGCATATTCAAAAGTGCTTGGTTCGAAATGATAAGGCTCCCTTTTTAATGTACAACATTGCTACATGCAACGACACTCGATTAANCTTGCTTATATAACGTCTCTTTCAAAAATCTCTCTCTACCCTCGTTTTCTAAAACCTTCTTTCAAAACCGAGGCTAGAGGCTCGATCATACGTTGCTTGGCCGTAGGCGACGCAAGAACAAATTGGCTTAGCTCACTTGTCGTTGGAAAGTGAGTGCCGCACAATCACTAGTCCGCTGCCTTTAAAAGTGCGATTGTGTCAAGAGTTTGACCGAACCACTATAAAACTACGATGTCATTTTCTCTAACTCTTTCCTATTTAATTTCAAAATTATTATTGTTTTGACTTGAATTATTTTGTTCTAGTAATTATCATATTTTACTTATTTATAAAAAGTTTCATCATTAAAAAAAAAAAAAAAAAAAANTAAAACCCTATTCACCCCTCCTCTAGGGTTGCCATACCGATCCAACAAGCATATGGATAGAAGATCGGTCATAGGAAGCAACGTAGATAGATATTAACTGCTTTGTCCCGTTACGTATCGTCGTTAGCCTCACGATTTTAAAATATGTATGTTACGGAGAGGTTTTCACACTCTTATGAGAAATGTTTTGTTCCTCTTTCTAACCGATGTAGGATCTCACAGTATAGGCTGTAGTCGTTGTCATTGCTAGCAACAACGTAAACATACGAGGATGTTGAATTTGATGTCAAATTTAAACCGTCATTTTATGCATAAAGAATGTTTTGTTCTCTTCTCCAACCGACGTGAGATCTCACAGTAAAAACCTTAGTCGTTGTCATTGCTAACAACATCGTAAATACACGAGAATATTAAATTTGATGTCAATTTTAAACCGTCATTTTAGGTATAAATAAATAGTATAAAAAAGTGTGAGAGAGAATAGTTTAAGGTAATAAAAGAGAGACATGCGAGGAGTGTCAATGAAGCAATGAAATGCACGAAGTCCCAAGTGCGTGGAAATGGGGAACAAAAAACAAATATTTTATCGATTTATTTATTTACTAAATTAATTATTATTATTAACTTGTAATTAATAATTTCCAAAAGTTTCATTTTTTTTATTTTCTAATTTAATAAATCATATTAGTTTTTTTATATTTGTTTAATTCTTTTTAACTAATAGACAAATAATTTAGAGGTTTAAATCCTCGATAAATTTTAAAAATACCAAAATTACCCTTAAACAACGATGTGGGAAAAAATTATTTATTTAATGTCTACATTTTTAATAGCCTTCAAAAAATAGTGACAGAGATGAATATAGTGTGACAGATGAAGCTTACAAAACTCGAGATGTAATAGTCTAATCCCACCGCTAATAAATATGTTTGTTTTGACCCGTTACGTATCGTCATCAGCTTCATATTTTTAAAATACGTCTGTTAGGGATAGATTTACACACCCTTATAAAGGTTTCTCACATCTCTCTAACTGATATGAGATTTCACACGAGAACAAATTCACCGCTCTATCAAATAGCTTTTTCGAGCTCAAAATTCCATAACGAATTAGTTGTCTATTTTATTATATAGCAATTAATATTATTATTTTACCAAATTTAATAAAACTTAAAAACTAATATTTTAATTTGTAAAAAGAAAAAACAAAAAAAGAAAAGAAAAGAAAAGGTTATTGGATGCGTGCGTGCGTACGATAACAATTTAATAACAACTGAGGTGTCAAAAGATCGGCCGTGTGATGATTACATCGGAAAATGAAGGACGTGGGTCCCACAAAGAGCAGAAAATTTTCTATTATATCCTATTAGTGCAGCTCACGGTTGGAAGCGTAGGGCTGCATTTACTCTTCTCACCCACATTTATTTAATTAAATATAATGTACAATGGCAGATGTGAAATTAAATTAACTATAATAAATGTTTTTCCTCCAAATACGCCAAAAAAAATAATTAAAACGGGGCGTTTTATTGGATCATATATTTATTGAGTTTTAGAAACCTACGTGTAATTAATTAAAATTAGAGTAAATTTAATAATATAACTTACGAAGAATTAATTTTAAAAAATATTTTTTAAATATTTTTATTG